GTTAAATTAGGATGTGGACTGATGATCTAAGATATATCACAAGAACTAATAGAATTTAAGTATGTGTCAAGGAGTGGGGAATAAGATTAAGTCATGGTCTTATTTGGTTTGGCTGAGAGCTACTATTAGAGTTTTTGTTGTTTTGGAGTGGTTGTGAAGCTTGGGTTTAGTGGTGGTTGGTTTTGGAGGAATATTATGACGCAAAGAGAGGCATTAGAATGATTTTGAATGGGTGTTTAAGAAGAGAAAATGACTAAACTTAATATAAACGACTAACTATTTATTTCATCAAATAAAAAATACACTTGGAGCTACCAAGCCACAAGTAAAGATAAGAGATTTTCTTCACTCAAATGATTTCATTCAGCACTACAATTTTCTTTATATGTCGGGTCATATTTATAAATAACAATTGGCTTGTGAGTAACCACATTTGGATGGAAAAATTAATGAAGGAGAAGAATTTAATAATTCATTATATCTTTGTCCATGCCCCATTAATGATATATGTTTTCAAGGTGTAAACAAAACATAAAATAAGCAAATAAATTGCATTTAAATGATTTAAACATTGGGCCTTGACATGGGCTATTATTTTTTAACTTTGTTCTAGCTTTGGCCTATGCACTTGCTCTTATAATGGGTTCATCGAGCTGATTTGAATTATCCACATGATTTGCTACATCATATTATGGATCCTAACGAATATCCTTTTAAGGATATGTAGAAGCCAAAAATACACCCACAAGGATATAGATTTTACATATCATTCGTTAATGACTTCACTAAGTACACCTCGGTATATCCTTTACTTCATAAATCTTATGTGTTTATTAAATTCCTTGAATTTCAATGAATGTTCGAGCGTAAGTTTAACCACAAAAACCTCATACTTCGTACAGACAGCGGTGGAGAATTCAATAATATCAAATTCAAATCCCTCTTCCAATACAATGGTATTCTTCATCAGCTCACCTGCCCACACTCACCATCCCAAAATGGAGTGGCCGAACGCAAGCACCGTCATCTAACTGAAACCACTCGCACACTTCTTATTGAAGCCTCTCTACCACAACATCTATGGGTTGACACACTCCTTACAGCTGCCTACCTAATCAATCGCTAACCCTCACCCAACACTCATAATAAATCTCCCTATGAACTTCTTTTTGGCAAACCTCCTACGTATGATCGTCTTAGAGTTTTCGATATCCTTTATTATCCTTGGCTAAAGCCATATTCTCCCAATAAACTCTTACCTCTATCTCTTCCTTACGTCTTCATCGGGTATGCTCCATCTGAAAAAAGCTATCGGTGCTTGGATCCTAAAACCAATAGAATTTATACCTCTTGTCACGTCATCTTCAATAAATTCATATTTCCTTACTCCAACTATTCATCTCAACTTACACTCTCATCCCTAACATCTACCTCAACACCACCTCTTCTACTCGTTCCCATAACCAATCTACCTACATCTCTCACACACTAATCTACACCTCATAATAACAACTCCACGACAACACCCTCACTACAGGTGCATTCCACCGTAGCTTCCCCTTCTCAAATTCCAACCCACCCGAACCACCATATGCCCACCCGAACCATGCAACAACAACTTCCATATTGGCTCAACCCAATCCTCAAGATGTCCCAACAACGAGTCAGACCGCCAATCTGCCATCCCACCACATGGTCACACGCTTTAAAAGTGGCAAAGTTAATGATCCAACTTCTTATTAGAAGGATGCCAAATCTGAACATTGGTGCATGGAAATGTCCCAAGAATTTCAATCACTCCAATCACAAGGAACTTGGGACTTTGTTCCTCCATAATCGGCTCAGAATATCCTTGTCTGTAAATGGACATTCCGCACCAAATTCAACTCAGATGGCTCTGTCACTCATTATAAAGCCCGCTTGGTCGCAAATGTTTTAATAAAAAACAAGGAATAGATTATACCGAAACCTTTAGCCCAGTAGCCAATATGCCAACCATCAGTGTACTCATACTTATAGCCTTGCATCATAATTGGACCATTCACCAGCTCGACGTTTCCAACGCCTTTTCCATGGCACTCTCTCGGATACCGTCTACATGCAACAACCTCCGGGTTTCATGACTCGCTCCATCCCAACTACGTCTACAAGCTAAAGAAAGCTCTGTATGGTATAAAGTAATTGCCTCGAGAGTGGTATGCTACACTCTCCAATCATCTACAAAACTTCGGCTTCAAAATTAGCTTTCTCGATCATTCACTCCTTACTTACAAGTCCGACGACGTTCATATTTACATCCTAATTTACGTCGACGGCATTCTACTAACATGTAACTCTTCAACATAAATAAATAGATTATTATCTAACCTTCATGATATGTTCTAGATGCGAAATTTGGGATGTTTATCTCAATTCCTGGGTATTCAAACCATCAACGCCCACTTCGACATACTTTTACACCAACAACAATACGCTCACAACATCATTGAGAGTGCTGTCATGACCACATTTCTTACAAAATTGTTCTCAACAACAAGTCCCAAGAACCATTCCCTAATCCTAATATATACCGCCACCTGATCGGCTCACTTCAATACCTCATGTTAACTCGACAAGATATTCAATTCGTTGTTCACCAACTTTGCCAACACATGCACAATCCACTCAAGACTCACTACGAGACCCTCAAACGACTCCTTCTCTACATTCAAGGGACGACTAACACATGTATTCCTTTCCGCAAAGACAAACTCTTGCTACGTCGATGCAGATTGGGCTAGCAAAAATTAAGAGCAGAAGTTCATATCCGGCTACTGCAACTTCTTGGGCACCTCACTCATATCATGGCAAGTCAAGAAACAAAACACCGTCGTCAGATCATCAACCGAGACCGAGTATAGAGCTCTAGTCGTGGAAGCAGCATAAGTAACATGGCTACGACGCCTTCTCAAAGACTTCAATATACCCCATATCACTCCTACCATCGTGTACTGCCTCCGTCATCGCTTTAGCCAACAACCTTGTGTTCCATGCCCGCACAAAGCATATTGAGGTTGATTGCCACTTCATCCGCGACTGCATTCACAACAAACATCTCTTTATTCATCACATATGTACCAACGATCAGCTCTCGGACGTGTTTACCAAGCCTCTTACAACCACATGGTTTAAATAATTAACAAGCAAACTCATCACAGTTCCAACGTCATCAGTTTGAAGGGAGTTGTAAGACAGACCGTCCATGTGGCTACCTCCACGTGGCCTCATCCTCACTCTTGTACTTTCTTTTGTACCTTCTTGTCTTTTGCATTTGCATTGGTTTATATATACTGCTTTGCAATCTGCCTTAATGAAATGAAGTAAATAGTTTTCTCTGTTTTCCACATTCTGTCCTCTCTCTTGAGGAACATCTCTTCTTTCATGCTTTCTCTCAATTTGGTCTTTGTCATATCTTTCTACATAATCATCTTCCTTGTTATGTTTATATAATACCCTATCAATACATTTAATTTCAAAGAAATTGATATAAACAGGATAGATCAAGAATTAAATTTTGTAGTACTAATGCAAACAAATTAGAGAGAGAGTTTATACATCATTGATGACTTTTATATTGTCATCGCAAACAATATGAACCATGAGTGAATCAAGAAAGAGGAACCGTAGTCGACAGGCGACGGAGATCGTAGGGATCGGAGTCAATGGACGATGGTGGTCGAAAGGATTATTGTCAGAAGATAATTGTTGGAGGGACCATAGTCGGCGGTGGCTACCCGACAAAGGTTCGACGAAGATGATCGGGGAAAGGTTCAATAGTGGTGGGCTGGCGGTGGTGTTGGGGTGGAACTCCGTGATTCTTTAAGTTTTATAGCTTTCTTGATCTCTAACCCAAGGTCCAAGCTTCCAAAGGTCCAAGCCCCTTCTTCATGTGGGAAGATGATGTCTATTTTATAGATTTTGTGAGTGATATGCTCCATAAATATGAAGAAGATTCAAGATAAATTTGGAGTGTTGAATCAGACGACCTATACTGTTATCACACGAAGGGTGGTGATTGTTTTTAGAAGATAATTGTTGGAGGAATCATATTTGAATATCATTTGATCATCTGATTAATGATTTAGAGCTTTCAAATATGCTTCGGTCCCTTGATGTCAATTTTGATGTCGTAGGATTTGTCTCATTGGGATATTTAATTGATCATAAGTTTGCTAAAATTATAATTTAGATTGTCCAAAATTTAATTTTTGAAGTTTCCAATTTAAATATGTTTCGAGATTCATGCCTGATTAATATGACTTTTGATGACATATCAAAATAAAACTTTCTTCGTTGTTCTCCAAATCACCACCCTTACACAAATACACAGGAACACAGCTGACAATTTCTCAAAATTTAAAACATAAAAACTGAGCAAATTTTAGTAAGCTTAGAAACCTCACAAATCTCTTCGTCGCAGGCCAAAAATAAAATAATCTTTAGGTGGAGTACCGAGTACATAAACCTTCATTCTTTCGAGCATTTGGTTACATTTCCCATCCGATCCAACATATAAGGGTCAGTTTGAATCCATGTAGTACTTAATTTAAATATAATTTTATAATTTTTTTTAAATTCAGATTTATTAAATATTGAGAGGGTTAAATACTTAAATCTTAAAAATTATTTGACAAAAAATGTATTATAGCTTGACAAAATCCGTTAGACTATTTGTCAATGTTATTCAAAATTTAAGGAGGTTAACATATGATATTTATATTTTAAATATGAGTTATTTATTAATTATAATTATTATTTTAATAAAATTTTATTTCCTAATTATACTTGTAATTATCTAATAAATCAATTAAAATATTATAATACTAATTAATTATTTAATTAATATTTATACTATTATCACATTATTTAGTATTTATATTTTAAATTATATTAATTAGGCTAATTAAATTAATGTCTAATTAAGGATAAATCTAATCCTGATAATGGGCGGGCTGGCTCTTCGATTCCTTAGCTGTCGTTGGCTGAGGTAGAGCATCCTCTTCGGCTTGGCTGGTTCGCGTGGGGTAGAGCTTCGAGCGGGTCAATTGCCATTGCCTGTCGCTTTGCTTTTCCTCTTCTGCATTTGCTGGTTTCTATTCTGCCTGTCGTGAAGTAGAGCTCTGAAAGAGTCCAAGCTTCTCCGCCTCCTCCTCCGACGTTGTTCCTGTCGGATCGGAAGTCGCGCCGGGAGCTCGCCGCGAAGGTAACGATATTTCCCCCCTTCAACGCAATTCCTCAGTCGGGATTTTTTTCCTGGCGCCAAGAATGCGTTAAACCGCCTCACCAAAGGATTTCGTAAATCCGGGATTTACCACGAGAAGGGGGAATTTTCCGTCGACCGCTGCTTAGATTTACCGTGAGATTTGGTTCTGCATTTTGGCCGTTTGGCTGGATTTAGCAAATCCGCCCCAAATCCAGCCTAAATCCTGCATCCAAACAGCCCTCTAGGGTTTGGATCCGCTTTTAAAAATATTAGTAGCGGGAAGACTTTGTTTTTGGCTTCTGGTTCGCGAGATGGATGTCTCAGCGATCAATGAGGAATTGGCCAATATAGATGCGCAAATCAGCGACATACTTCGAGCACTATCGTAAGATATCTAAATCTCCTCCGACTTCCTAGTATTTTTGACTCGCTGATAATGGCGATTTTCTTATTGGGATGATAAAAGTGAATTATTTAAAGAGGATTTGTTCTATGCCTTCTTGGTTCTTTGAAAGCATTAGTAGCAGCAGTATCCTGTGATTAAATTAGCACAAGAAGGTTGTACTGTTGTAGGCATATGATATGTATGGAATATTGGCACAGAGGTAGGACAGTTACCGAATGTTGCTAGTGAATTTAAATAAAAGAGCAGTGAACACTTCTTTTTCCTCAAAAAGAAAGTCATTATTTTGGAGAAATTATTATGTGAGAGTCCCGACTTAGAGTTGCATATGAACTCTTTGTATTTACTGAATATGTATTGAGTATTTGCTAAGTATTTATTGTATATTTACTGTGTATTAAATACTCAGTAAATATGCACTAAATACTCAGTAAATACATATTAAATACTCAAGAAATACTCAATAAATGTATTAAATACTTAGTAAATACACAATAAATACTTATGAAATACTCAATAAATACACAATAATATAAAAAATATATATTTTGATCATGTGTGAACATTTTATTGGAGTCCTCCTGACTCTGCACGTGATAATTTCTCGAAATTTTTTTAAGAACCTTCTCTGGATTAGAAAATTCAATTTTCACCTAAACATTGATTACCAATAGCTATTACTGCGAACTCGGTTCTATCTTGCTGTATTTTTATTCACTACTGCTTATGCGGCTTTCTTCAACATTGTGACTCGAGTGAGCTGTGTATACTCATGATTTTGATCTTTTACAGAAATGGGTTTCAGAAACTGGATAAGATAAAGGATCCAAATAGACAGAGCAGACAATTGGAAGAACTCACTGAAAAGATGAGAGAATGCAAGAGGTACGCTGTGCTCCTCTTTTCTCATGCCAATGAGATCTAGCAGCTTAACCTTCTACGGCTATTTTTCTAAAGTTCTGTATTCACTATCTTCACATATGAAACTATTCTTTTATACTTTTTAAAATTATAAGAGACAAAATAGCATTGGATTGATTGTGCCACCCTATATGAATGAAAATAAAGTAAAAGAAAAAGAACATATAAACACACACACATTCAAGTTTGCTTAAAAAATTTCCTAGATTAGGTTGATATCCATTATTGTACAGGACCAATATTAGTTGCTAGGGACATCAACATCTACAAATAGGTTTGATATGCTGGGTTAAACATTAGAGACTATAAATACAAATTTCCACACCACAATGACAGAAAGGAACTCGTATGAGCGTTTTAAGAAGTGAGAAGAAAATTTAGTTACTTACAAAATGAAATCCAAATAAAAAAATTCAATTATATTCTTACAAGATAGAAATCAATTTTAAAGATTGTATAGTGGTTCAAAGGGAGCGTTTAAGGAAATGTTTTCTTTGGGATAGGAAAGCTTTTTGGCATTAAGAAAATTGTCGTAAAAAAATTAAGAGAGTCAAGATGAGTAATGAGAGTTGATGGTGGAGTTAGGATATATCGAATGTTGTTAAGGCAAAGAATGACAAAAAAGTTAATGCCATTAAGATTTACCTTTAGATAGAATTGGACATAATGTTGGGGAAAATAAAGTTTTTAAAGATGCTGTGGATATTATAGAATTTTCACCCCTAGATAGAATTGGTCATAAGCTTTCTTAGAACTATCACATTGTAACAAATCTAGTTGTGAAAAGCTTATTCCATAACATAAAATTTGAAAAGTAACAAGAAAGCTTTAGCTAAATATAAATGCGGCTGTGAACTGTATAGTAAAGCTGACCCAAACATATGTTAGAATTTTAAGAGTGAATATGATTGAATTTTAATTAAAGATGAAGACATAAAATTAATGTAAAAATCTTATTGTTAGATACATCAATTAGCAATATTAAAGTGGAAAAAAGGGCAAAATTATCGCAATCATATAGCCCTAATACATTGTTTGATAAAAGTAAAGTTAACTTTGAAGAAGACTTATAAAGGTATATCTATAGGTTTAATTAATATGTGTCATGATTTGAGGAATTGTGAGAGCTGCTGCAATAGTTTGATTGTAAAATTTTCTGATGAAATCTTGATGAATACAATAATTTCAAATGACTTGTAATATATTTTTTCAATACCATAATTTAAGATTAAAGGAGCTTTCGGTGTGCTTTAATTATATGAGAATCAAACTTAGGTATGCTAAAGTGAAGTTATAGGAATGTTGTAAAGTGGTGTTGGAGTTCATGTCGATATTGAAAAATCACTTTGATTTTTGTGCTGGGAAGATCTTTCATGGAGATGATTTTTCCTGATGCAGTTAACTGGAGAAGTATAATAAACATCGAAGGATCTTCATATAGCGTTTATTTTTCTTAAAATTTAATATGATCGAGTAATATGAGAGTTCATTTGTTGTGTTGAAGAGAAAGATGCCGGTCAAAAATATGGACTTATTAAAGATATGTTGTGAAATAGTGAGTGATTTTGAAAGTGGCATGGAATGTCTAAAGAGTTTGGAATGCAAGATAATACATTAAGTATGAACTTTAAGTTCTATGTTTATAATGGCTAAGGAGATGAAAAAGATGTTCAAAGTTAGGTAATTTGGTGTATGCTGTTTCATATGACATAATATTGTTAGGTGAGATACATTTTGAATTAAGTAAGAAGTTAGAATATTAGAGAAAAGTTTTATGTATAAGAGGCTTAGAATAAGTATAACAAAGATAAAGTATATCGTATATATTGGAAATGAAGTTGATAATTATTAATTAATATAATTAGTAGATCAATTTATAATTAGTAGGGGCTAATTTAAGTATGTTTGATCTATTATATGATGTGTCTGAAGATGTTCTAGGAGAACTAAATAAATACATAAATACTAAATTTCATAAAATTGCAATTGGACCAACTGTTTTAAATGGATCTCAGTGTTAAAAAATTATGATCTTACTGCTAGACAATCAGTGATTACTAACTTGAGTGGCTTATATGAGAATGTTAAAGAGGTAGTTTGGTAAAACTCATAATGTTAGCGAGAAATGATCATGTTAGAGAGGGGTTGGGGAGTAGTACTTGTTGAAGATAATTTAATAAGTAGATATTTATGGTTTGGATATGTGCAATGGAAGATAGTATATTCATCAACAGAATGGGTGAATATAATCAGTGCATATGATTTAGGAAGGAAATTGATAGAACATATGGTTAGAAGTTGTTCAAAAGTATTTGTGCAAAATAGTTAATATCTTATGTAACATAATGGAAAATGAATGCAAAAGCACAATCATAAATTCAACCTTAAATAATTAAGATAATGTTACTGATGATAACGATGATGATGAGAAAGTTCCTAATATACAGTTCAATGTTTTAAATTTTTATTATTTTTCTAACTTCAACTTTTCCCAGGCTCATTAAAGAGTTTGATAGAGAGTTGAAGGTAGAGGAAAGTAATAATACCACTTCTGTCAACAAAACGCTGAATGAAAGAAAACAAGCAATGGTACTGTATTTTTCTCTAAAACCAGTAAACTTCAATTTTCCAGTAAGACATTTCGGTTCTTCTATTAATATTTCTACTGATTGTAGTATTTGTTCTTTTTTGGCAGATCAAAGAATTAAATTCATTCGTTGCTCTAAAGAAGCAGTGAGTACCCCTCTCAGTTAGAATTTTGTGCAAGCAAGACATGCTAATATTAATTAAGTACACTAGCAGAGCTACATAATGACTCATTATTTGATTATGCGATGGGACAACCATAGGGGTGATAATTTTGAAAACTATGTTTTTATTTATAAAAATCCTCCTCCTGGAATAAACTTATTGTTTTTGCATAATCACTTTGATGAAATTAATTGAAATTCTGAAGACTTAAAATGGTCTTAGGTTTTAACACTATATTTATTTGTGCATATTTTCTTCAGAGAAGAAATGTTGAATTCCCTTAGTGCTATTCTTATATCCATGGTTTGTAAATCACTGACTTTTTGAACTTTCCTTGTTTTCCAATATTGTAAAAACTTATCGATGGTGTTTCCACAAAAGAAGCCTTTATCGTTTCCCTGCAAAACGGGTTAGGGAAATTTCGTATGGCACCATGACACCATCTATGTGCTTTTTGATGATTTTATGCTAGATGGTTGATAATTGATTCACCTATAAAGCTTGCGACTAACATAACCTAAACCTAAAATGCTTATGACAGTAGCAAAGTTACATCATTTAATTACATGGAATGCTTTCAAAGCTAGTTAAATGCCCCCACGTTTTCTTTTCTATTTAACGTGAGAAAGCAAGGTAAAGAGTCTCATATATGCTAGGTGCCTCATTTTGAAATGGCGTTCTATTCTTGCTCCATGGTAGGTATAATTCTTCCTACTTTAGTGTTAATACATGGTTCTATGCAATCGTTATTGTTATTGATCAAGTACTACCACCATACTAAATGAGCTGTTTAGCATATACACTTGTTTGATTTAATCATAAGCACTAGTAATCCTTTTTAGGCTCGCTTGAAGCTTCTTTCTTGATTTCTACATCTGTTTTGGATACCTTTCAAAATATTAACAGGAATCAACCTCTCTCATCGATACTTATTTAGTATAAACTTTCCAATTTTGTTTGGTGCGCAGCCTTTCTACTGTATGGTGGACACCATCTCTTGAAAACTCATTCCCACATAATTTGGATGAGTGGTTTGAGAGGATCATGCTTTTTATAAGTTATGCCATCGGAGTCTAATTATAAATTTATCTTTTTTTTTTTTCGCCTCTAATTGCCTACATCCTTAGCCCATAATTGGATTAATGAGCCGATGGCTTGAACATCCTTCTCCTACATAGTTCTAAGTTTGCATGACTTCAATCTTATGTATTTATCTTACAAAAGATTCTTGTCCATGATAATTTCAAAATATTAAACAATTATTAATTGTACAAAGTTTTAATAGTTACGAAAACATTTTGCTATATGTTGTCCAACCACTGTTGGTTTGCCTGCTTTTGAAGGTTGCATGTGTGTATAAGTCCACTGTAGTAGGGTCTCTTCCGGTGTCTATTTATATAAAAATATGAAATAAATTAAGAAAAATGCATATATAAATTTATACTTATCATCCTCTTGCTATGTTTCGTGTAAGGAATTGAGCCACAACTATGAAGAGAGGTGGAATTGAGCCACAATTAGAAGTGTGGTTCTACATTTTATTTTCCCTTCTTCACATACTCCTTAGTTCCCCACGTTGCATGCAATCCATTCTACATGCCTAGCTAATCCATAACCTTCGAAGGTCTCAACTCGCCAATTAAGATAAGATGCTGTAGCCAAAATCTTAAGATAAAAAGATAATTTATTACTACAAGTATTAAGATTAAAAATATCAGAACTCCTTAGCCGCTCATCTAAAATCCGGAGGAATAGAACATTAGTTCGATAACATCCAATCTTTTGATCTAAAATTTCTCCTCATTTTTCTCCATAGAAAGCTTTTCTTTTGATAGCCTTCAAGTCACAATACTAAATCTGTCCAAACACTGAATACCCATGTCACCACCATCCAAATAATCCTTCCACTTTCACCCTTAGGGGATAAATCAGGTTGTTGCCTTCACTATAAAAATTCTATAGACCCTACATCATGTTGGCATTAGAACCAAGGGTTCCAAACAAGTCAAGGTCAAGAAGCTTGAAGTCGCGCATGGGAGGAATAAAAAAATTTAGTAATGGAATCTATATTTTATGACTAGAAGAATTCAAGGAGCGTTGCAACCTTGATTTATTTCTTCTTCAAGAAGGTTATTACTGCTATTCTAAAGTTTTAAGTTTCTTTATTTGGCAGTTTATTAAATAAACTTGAGAAAGTATATATTGTTTGGCTGCATTATAGAAATTTAATTTCATCCAAGTTATTGCTATCACCAGAAATACATAACCAAACTCTTGCATAAACTTACCATAACCTAATTTTTTTTTAGATTTCTCAACTAAAAAGAGTGTGTTGCATAAACAAAAGCCTTAACTTGAATTAAAATTAATATATAGATTAGCTAAGCATGTGAATCTACCTTTGCTGCTCTATTTTTTCCTTTACCATTTTTAAAGTTCGGCCATGAATGATTCATATTGAAAATAAAGTTATCCCTCTTCTGTTTGATATTTTTATCAATTTACTTGTGGAACTGCAGGTATGCAGGTAGTCTTGGAAATAAGCGTATTGAACTTTTTGATGCACAGGAGGTTGGGCATAGGCCTGGTGAAGAGGACGTATTCTTGGCTTCATGTAAGATTTGCTGCTCACTTTATGTGTTTTAATTATTAATCCGGTATTTTTGTATGCAGGCCATTTAGCATATAGATGTTCAAAGGTGTAATCTTAAATTCTTAACCCGTCACATTTCATGATTTAGGTTTCATTTGGGACGACTTTCTTATGGCTTCTTAAAGCAATTTTTTAATACAAAAATTAAAAATTTTGTTTTAGAAAGCTGCTTTAAGAAGTAGTAAAAAAGCCGTCTCAAACGAAGCCTTAGAAGAAAAGTCTTCACATTCTAAAGCCTGCTCCAGCCATGAGGCTGAAGTTGTCTTGGTTGAAAGAAAGTTCATCGTAACCCTTGCAAGTTGTGTCGTGTGTTTCGTCTTTGTATAATTTAATAGGTTAGATAAATCCTGACCAACTATAGCCCAAACAACCTTGTATGACATGAGCTTTATGGGTTATATTGTACCCCGTATGATGCCGGACAATCTAGGGCTCCTTTAGGGAGGCTGATACTTTGAAATGACGTGCAATGCGAAAGACAAACTATGTTAAGGCTTACTTAACTATTACTGAAGATGCAATCAACCTGATGAGAAGTGCTGCATTATTAATATGCTAATATTCATTTTGAAGTAAATTCATACATTGCATTATTTACTGTAGATACTTCATAGAAAATAACAAATTCAAATCTTGGGATGGTTCAATAATTTATCTCCCTAGAAATCAACCATATAGAATTCAAATGCAAAGATCTAAAAACACGTTCAAATCATGCTAATTAATATCTAAATATATCAATGCAATTGGGTCAAAATGGTCTCTTCTTCAAACAAATTATAAATACTATAAAAAGAAAGCAAGAGAAGAGCATTCAGAACTGTTTTTGAAAAAGTATCCTCACCTCTCATGAATTTCATTCAATAATCAAAAGATGGGTTCAAAAGTTTAGATACTTATATTTAGAAAAAAGGGATTGAAGCATATATGAATAGAAATCAACAAATATTAGTGAGTAGTAGAAATATGGTGGGTCCATTGTATCTTGTTTGTTTGTGTTTCCTTTCTTATCAAGAAAATCTGTTTGGTTTGCTGAAATTTACTATTTGTTCGCTGGTTTTTGGTGTTTCAAGTCTTAACAAATTGGTATCAAAGCAATTTCTTGGGAGCGATGGCCTGGAGAAGAGTTGAGGCGTTGGAAGAAAAGTTGGAGGGGGAAATAGGGCAGTTGTGAACGGGATGTGGGATCGTTGAATGAGTGTTTTTCAGTGATGGAAGTAAGGTTTGGGAATTTAGAGGAGATGAAGCGGATGTTGGAGTTTCAAACTAAAGCAGATCCGTTGGAAGTAAGGGGGGATCAGGAAAATGACATGCCGAGGAAAGATGACAAGGTGGAAATTTTAGGAGAAGAGGGAATACCCCATCTTGAGCCTCTGCCGAGAAGGGGGATGGATAGAGAATATGAAGGTAGGAGGGAATGGGAAGAAGAGAGCAGAAAGGCTGAATTTGAAGGAAGAGGTGGATATGAAAGGAGAATGGAGGAGAGGGAACTATGGAGAGACCCCAATGCTCGCTTCATAGGATGCATGAGGGGCGAAAGGAGAAATTGGGGCGGAGGAGGTTTGAAGATCAAGAAGCTGAAAATGTTGGTGTTTGAAGGAAAGGATGCGCATGGGTGGATCTATAGAGTGGAGATGTATTTTGTAGTAAACGAGTTAATAGAAGGTGAGAGACTTATGGCAGCATCTCAATGTCTTGAGGAGAAGGCACTGACATGGTACCAATGGAGGGAGATGAGGTACTCGATCCGTTCATGGGAGGAGTTAAGGATTTCTTGTTGGAGCGTTTTCGAGCCAAGTAGGATGGGGATTACTATGAGCAGTTCTTTGCATTGACACATGTTGGCACTGTGATGGAGGATCAAGAAAGATTTGAGCTTCTGTCAGGTTGGGTGCGGAGGTTATCGGAGACAGTGTTGGAGAGCAATTTCATAAAAGGCCTCAAATTAGAGTTGAGAGCAGCGGTGCGGGTGGCAAGGCCCCATGATAGAGGTGGAGGGGAGAAAGGTGGTAATTAAGGGAGACCCCAACTTATCCAAAGCAATGGTTTCTTTAAAAACCATGGTTTCTGCCATACAAGAGGAAGGAGGGGGATTCTTGGTGGAGTTCCAGAGCTTGGAGGGAGGTGGGACAGAGGAGATATAAGACATTCCAGACATTGTCCAACCACTACTTTGGAAGTTCAGGGAGGTATTCCAACTTTCCTAGGGATTGTAACCCCCAAGGGAGTACGAGCACTCTATTATTCTGAAAGGAGTCTCCCCCATTAGTGTTTGCCTTCAGATTCAGAAGGGTGAGATTGAGAGATTGATTTGGGAGATGCTTGAAGCTGAAATCATCATGCCTAGCATGAGACCTTTCTCTAGTCCTATATTGTTGGTAAAGAAGAATGATGATAGTTGGAGGTTATTTATAGACTATCGTGCCATGAACAAGAAAGCTGTACCAGACAAGTTTCCCATACCGATCATTGATGAGCTGTTATATGAGTTGCATGGATCTGTGATATTCTCCATGATCGACTTGAAATTTGGATACCACTAGATTAGAATGCACCACAAGACAACTTTCAGGACGCATGAGGGACACTATGAGTTCTTGGTGATGCCTTTTGACCTCACTAACGCATCATCTATTTTCCAGTCTATGATGAATATGATATTCCAACCCTACTTGCAAAGGTTTGTGTTGGTATTTTTTTGATGATATATTGGTGCATAGTAGGTATGAGGGAGAGCACTTGGAGCATTTGAGAGTTGTGCCATCTACCTTAAGAGAGTGCTTTTTGTTTGCTAATTAGAAGAAGTGTTTTTTCGCACAACCCAGAGTGAAGTATTTAGAGCATGTGATATCTAAGGAAGGAGTGGCAGCTAACCAGAGTAAGATTGATGCCATGCTTAGATGGCCCATACCTAAGACTTTAAAGGAGTTGAGAGGATTAGTGGGACTCACAAGCTATTATGGAAAATTTGTGAAATGATAGTTCTATAGAAGGGCTGTTGACGAAACAACTCAAGAAGGACAACTTCAACTGGGGAGAGTTAGCCACCTAGGCATTTAAGGAGTTGAAGAAGGTTATGATCAGTGTGCCAGTTTTAGCTCATCCAAATTTCAAACTTGCCTTTTATAGTTGAGACAAATGCCTCGGGTTTTGGGTTAGGAGCGGTACTCATGCAAAATTAGAGACCTGTGTCCTATTTCGGTTAGGTGTTGATGGCTAGGGCAAGACTCATGTCAGTTTATGAGAGAGAGCTGATGGCCATTGAGTTGGCCATTCAGAAATGACGGCTTTATTTATTGGGAAGACATTTCATTGTTTGAACTGACTAGAGGAGGTTGAAGTATTTATTAGAGCAGAGAATGGTCACTGAGGAGCATCAAAGGTGGCTTTCCAAGTTATTGGGCTTCAAGATTCAATATCAACTTGGAGTTGAAAACAAAGCAGCCGATGGATTATCCAGGTGCATGGGGGAAGCATTGAGGAGAGAGAGCAAGCAAGATGTGAGGTTAAGGAAAATTAGGGAGGAATTGGTAGAAAATAAGGGCAACCATCCGAGATATTTAGTGGTGAGATAGAAGTTGTTTCATAATGGGTGGTTTGTGATTTCAATGACCTCTTCATACATGCCCTACTTGTTTTGGGAGTTTTATGGAACGGCCATTGGGGGACATTCAGTTGTCAAAAAGACATTGCCGACTTTATGCAGAGCCGTGTTGGGAGGGTATGTAGAAGGATGTCGAGAAGATGGTGGCTAGCTGTGATATATGTAAGAGGCACTAGTATTTTGCTATCTCTAGGAGGGCTGCTACAACTGTTAGCTCTTTCAAAAAAGGTGTGGGAGGAGGTGACCATGGACTTCATTAAAGGGCTGCCCAAGCAAGAAGGATACACTACGATACACTGCCCAAGTTGAAGGGCTTCATTGATGGCAAAGGCACTATTATTTTGATCAATATCTTGAAGCTGGAAGTAGATAGATACTCTATTTAATATAGTAGTTAAAACAAAAGCATATTATAGTATGCCAACAATTAGAAAATGATCAAAATGGTCTTTTGACTCTTTATAAAATAACAAAATAGTTTCAACTATATTAATGAACCATTTTGGTCTCTCAACTCCTTAAAGAGGAATCAAAATAATCTCATGATGAGACTATTTTGGTTAAGAATTTGTGAGACCAAAATGGTCCTTTAATATAGTTGGAGATTATTTTGATAATTCATGAAGAATAAAATGACCATTTTGATTATTTTCCCAACCAACAACATATGTAAAGTTTATATTAAATTTTATTTAAGAAAATGTTTTCTTTTTATGTTTCATATATTTGGGTAAACTTAAAATAGGAGAAATTTTTGGTGAATAGTTCTTATTCGTGTCTTGTATATGGGTATAATTCAAAAATTTGCAAGGCAGCCTGTTCACCATTGGTAACTTCAATGCAATCTTATGAAATGAAAAGCAAAGGAGTTCCGTGTAACTCTCTTTGGAAGGAAATAATTAGAACTCAACATTAGCACTTGTGCTAAGAAATCATTTGTATTTTTTTGAATCTCTTAAAAAATTATGTAGTTCATGAGCTTGTGATGGGAAAAGCAATTTTTTTTATTCTTTATTTTTAAATTTTAAGCAATGCATTACTTTATGAAGAAGAAGGATTAATAAACCATTCTCAAATATTGGGATAAAGTTAATGATGATGAAGGTAACTTTATAAAGTGCCGTTCCTCGCAGCTATGACCAACCAACAATTGATGGATACTGGAGGTAGGATGATGAATGAAGCTGATCAAGCTATAGAGCGGTCCAAGAAGGTTAGTTGCTTTTTTTTTTAAATTATTATTGTGTAGATTTAAAATTTCAATGTCAAAAGCATGGTTTAAGAATATGGTCTATCATGACAGTTCATCGTACTGATTTGATGACTTAATTCTGAGGCTAGATGGGCATTGTATTTGAATTGTAAAAGTTTTAGACATAGACAAACTTGCATTTATTCAACAGGATTTCACTCTACCCATTGAACCAGGTGGAATATACCTACCCTAGTTTAATATGGTCCAAGTACAGATTTATTTTTTAAATATTTTTTACAAATAAGCTTCCATTTATTTTTTTTTATATAGAGCATGATCAACTTTTAATTGTTTTTCTGGCGAAAGAAAACCGGCTTTTAGTGAAATGATAGTTTTTTGAATTTTGATTATGTTAGATTTGTAATTTATAAATTATACATTTCTATGTTCGACATAATTTTACAAACTTTATCAAGATCCATACAATCTATTTTTCAATTATGTATTTCTTAAGTAAAAGCATGCATTTGCATAGGTAACATTCTATTTAAATGTGTAGTTGATTTGGAAGTTCGATGACTGACCTACTAATCAAGCCCCGTGATCAAATCAAGGATTGGGCCGTATTTTTTATGCATGCATTGTTAGGATATATGCGTGCATTGTTAGGAGGGTGAAAAATTGCGGGCTCAAGCTAAGCCAATATATAAATAGTGGACAACCATCAACCATAAAGCTTTGGTTACACCTCAAAATCAGTCTTATTTTTAACATAATTTTATAAACTTTATTAAAATATATGTAAACCATTCCTATAGTATATTTATGTAGAAAAAATACACATTTCCATGGATAACATTTTATTTAAATGTGCAGTTAACTTGGAAGGAAACCCCTTGAACAAGTCAAGGATTGTGCCATATTTTATACGTCATACATGCTTTGTTTGGAGGGAGGAACATTGGGGGCCCAAATCGAACCAATATATTAGCAGTGGAAACTCATCAACTAAACTTAAACCTAATGGGTGTCTTATTTTACTATCTAATGTGAGAATATGCTCCTAAATCTTAGTGATGTGAAACAATGATGATGAACAAGAATTGCTTTTAAGAAATTAGTAAAATGCGAACTTTGCTTGGCTAAATATAAACGGATGCTTCTTCAAGTTAGATCTTAGAAAATTCCATGAAAGGACTAAGTACTGGCAAGCGATTACAATTGAGATTACGAGGTTACTTGCAAAATAACAACAAATAAATGAGTAAAGCAAATGACAAGTCAACAAAATCCATTGTTTAATAAATTAGATTGTTCACCTTGGGATCCCTCACTCACACGCTTGATAGTGATTGGCTTAGCGGAAGAATGTTGCAAACAAACTTAGAGACGCCATTAGAAGACATGCGATGCCAAGGGTGTTAGTTGCCGGGGAAGGAGTCGGAGTTGGAGGCACGGGTGGTCGTCCGGTGATCTTCCACTCTCCAATAGGTCTTTGTTCGTCGATGACGTCCGCTAAGTGGGGGAGGATATGATCAACTCACTCCTTAGCGCTGCTTTCAGATCCAAATCTAGGATCAAAGAATGGTGATTGGATGACGTCAATCTCCCCATTGAGAATTGAGAATAAGCCCGTGATCAACTTCCGGATCGGCCATACATGCTTGCCGTGAGAGATGAGAGAGTACAAGTGGGGAGAAGAGGGAGAGGAGGTGGCGGGTGGAGAGAGAGGGGCCGACGGTTTGGTTAGAGGGGGAAGGGGGGGGGGGAGGACAAGGCTTGAGGTAGGAGGTAGCGTTGGATTTGATATAGTAAGCGTAGGGATTAGTATATGAATTTTAATTTCAGGTTAAGTGAAATTGGAGGGAATCTCTTTGAAATTAAATTCAAATTTCAATATAGGCTTGAATTTGATGGGCCATGGGGTTGTAATTAAAGAGGGATTAGGGAGCATTTATTGTGATGGGAGGTGATTAGGAGGAGAAAAGTAAGGTAGGGGCCGTGCCAATGAGAGAGGGAGCAGGAGTTTTTAGGTTCGTTGTATGTGGGCATGAGGATAAATGTTGGTTCGAAATAATCTGAAATTAATTACAGATTTGATTAATTGTAGGGATCGTTCTAATTTTAAAATTTTTGAGGGAATTTTTGAATATCAAAAATTGAATTGAATTCAATAAATAAGCTTTCATATATTGGTTAGGATTATTTTTGGAAAGTAATGAAGGATGATTTGAAATTTGAATTCAAAATATTGAAGGATTATGGAGAGGATGGCGCTACTTGTTTAGAGGACGGATGGGTGGGGAGAGGGCTTGGCGTGGATGGCTGGGCGGCCGGTGGGTGGCTGGGTCGGCGGTGTGTATAGTGTCAGCTGTGATCGGGGAGGTGTTGTGGTGCCGCGTGGGTGGAATTAGGCTCTGGGTTAAGGGGAAGAAGGGGATGGGGATGACAAGGCTGGCGGGTTGAGCAAGAGAAGGAGGATGGTGGATGTGGTGGAAAGGAAGAAACAATGAACCGCGAACCTTGGAATTCACCAAGATTGACGGGTATTGCTCTCACCCAATTAGGGTTGCTCCTCTCAAGAACTCACCGAGAGATCATGCAAGAAAGTGGAAATTTCATTCATAAGCATCATTAACCATTACAAAGCTAATAGATCTTAATATATAGGCCTCAATAAAAGAAAAGCAGAAAGACAAAAATACCCTTGGGGTTACAATAGCGACTCACTACCCATAGGGGTAAACTAAGATTAATAGAAAATGAAAAATAAATAAAATACAAAATATATCAAAAGTAAAGACTTTGGATCGTAGCCGTCGATCTAAGACTCTGACGACGATACACATATCGAAATCTCTGACTGATGTCCTCATCACTTATTAATCTCTCTCTCTCTCTCTCTCACACACACATATGAGAGTTTCATATTTACCATCACTCTTCTTTATAAATTTTTTTTCGAAACCATCAAAGATCATGGGCCAAGAGATCAGTCAGGCACATGGAGTTTGAATATGAGTCACTTGATCTTGAATTTTATTCAATCATGGCAGAGGCAATCAATTATGTTGCTGTTGTTATTGTTGTATGGTATATGCAATCAATGCCTATAGGAGCTAAAAAACACATGAGCGATCGACCCTAATTGAACCTTTGGCTATGACACTACTTTTTAAGAGGGTGAAATGTTGGGGGCTCAAACTGAGTTTGATACCTTGGTAAATGGATATCCATCAATCCAAAAGCTTAACTAAATATTCAAGAGCTATTTCTATTATATTAAGAATTTAAATCTTTTATTTTTGGGGACTATTATTCTTTGCATGTGGATCTTAGCATGTTTAATCATCTATGATTTATAAGCAGCCATACAGTAGCTTCTTTATTCTTTTCAAAACTTCCAACATGGATTTTGGGCTTCCTGTGATTTTAGATTTCTTCAAGTCTTCTATTTTTGTGTTATGCTCTTATGTGCATCATATCACCTTGCGGAATTTCTCATAAAAGCATATTCTCTATATCACCAGTAGGTTTTGTTTAGGTTAATAAGTTGTGGCTACAAGACTACAAGTCCATTCAATTATCTTTTGTTATAATTGGCAAAGGCAACTCAACCTTTTTTATTTGTTATTATATTGAATTTTCAGCATTTTAAACTCATACGTTTCTTTAAAAATTTTGGCCAAGTTATCTTCTCTCAATCTTTTAAGATGTATTTCTGTAGCTTTTCTTGATTAATTCTGCATGCTTGACTGTACTACCATCTTCAAAAGTTCTCTAGACGACATGATAGGGAGGTTTACTCTAAATTTAATTTTGCTTATGTTCACCATTATCACTACGATGTTTTGGTGTTAAAAACTATTCTTTCATCCTTACAGCTATTACAACTTCTTATTTATAGCTTGCATTTGATAGTTTCAATGAAAATTCCTTCTCCAATCTTTATGTACTAATTTCTACACTAAAATGAGTGCAACTGAACTATCAGTGCCCCATTCTGTTGAACATAATTTACATTTAGACTATGGAAGCCATATATTTATTAAGAGGTTTGATGGAGAAATATAGAGAAAATAAGTAGGATCTACATATGATATTTATTTATTTAGAAAAAGCATATGATAAAGTACTAAGAGAAGTGCTATGGAGAGTTCTTGAAAAGAAAGGAGTTAATAATGCTTATATTCAAATCATTAAAGATATGTATGCATGGGCTATTACTTGTGTTCAAACACAAGGTGGTTTGACCAAGTATTTCCCTATTTTGGTTGGGTTACATCAAGGATCTGCCTTAAGCCCATATCTTTTTGCTTTAGTCATGGATGTTCTCACTAGACATTTGCAAGAGGATGTACCTTGGTGTATGCTTTTTGCTGATGATATTCTTCTCGTTGATAAGACTAGAGAGGGAGTTGAAAGTAAACTTGAATTATGGAGGTCAACATTAGAACTAAAGGTTTTTGCTTGATTAGATCTAAAACGGAATATATGGAGTGTAATTTTAGTAGTAATAGACCTAGTGAGGGGTTTGTGACTTTGGACGATCAAGTCATTAATAATAGTACACGTTTTAGATATCTTTGATCTATTGTTCAGAGTGATGATGAAATAGATGGGGATATTATCAGCAGAATTCAAGTTGGATGGTTGAAGTGGAGGAATGCATCGGGCTTATTGTGTGATAGAAAGGTACCCCTCAAATTTAATGGAAAATTCTATAAGATGTTAGTGAGGCTTGCAATGCTTTATGGTGTTGAATGTTGGCCATTAAAAGAGAAGCATAATACTAAGTTAAGTGTGGCAGAGATGAGGATGCTCAGGTGGATGAGTGGCTTTACCCTTAGAAATATGATACGAAATAAGCATATACGTGAAAAAGGTTGGAGTAGCTCCAGTAGAGGATAAGATAGAGAGAGTCGCCTTAGATGGTTTGGTCACATAAAACGGCAGCCTTCCAATGACCCGGTTAGGAGATTAGAGGTATTAGATTTGACTTGTGTTAAGAAAGGTAGAGGCAGACCTAAAAAGATTTGGTTAGAAAATATTAGGAATGACCTTTCTTTATTAGATTTAAACGAGAATTTGACTTTTAAGAGGACACAATGGAGAAAAAGTATTCATGTAGCCGACCCCACGTAGTGGGATAAAGGCTTGATGTTGTTGTTGTGTTTCCGGTTAATTTTTTTACCGGCTTCTTTCTGCTTATTATCTATAATATGCATTTGATGATCGTGCATATTGTCCACAAGTAGATGGAATTTTTGACAATTTTTTCCTCTCCATTTGTGCTGTTAGCGATCAACTGTGATGTTGAAGTTATTATTATTCAAAATTACTTATCTCCATATATCATATTTACAAATGACATTTACATGCCAAATCAGTTTTGAAGTAAACAAACCCTTATATCAATAAATGTCATGAAGCACAAACGAAGACATGAATCACAAACATGACACTTATATGGATAAGAGATAACTATAAAAATTGTGCTTGATTTGGCAGGCAGACGATGTTATCTTTTAAATTTCATGAATGTATAAAATGACTTAAAAACACTTAATTATCCATGCTTTCCCTCAGAAATAATGTTAATATTAACTATAACATTATATGTATCCGAAAAAAAAGCTTAACTTCTTCACATACTTTTAGGCTTCATTTGGGACGGCTTTTTTATTGCTTCTTAAAGCAGTGTTCTAGTAAAAAAATAAATTTTTTATACTGTAGAGCTGCTTTAAGAAGCAGTAAATAAGCCTTTTCAAATTAAGCCTTAATCTAATTTATTTCTATTTTAATTCTTGTTTTTTGATGCTTAATGCTTTTCCCTCACTACCCCAAATCAATTTGCCATCATTAATCACTGATTTATCTTAAAACCAATGTAACAGGTTGTTGAAGATACCGTAAATGTTGGTGCAGAGACAGCGGCTGCTCTCAAGGCGCAGGTTGGTTATCCAATAATATTTGACTGTTGAGAGACTGCTTTTCTCTTGAAATAAATCTAGATTAAACATTATTAGTTCTCTGGGATTTCAATCAAGCTATCTAAGTATATCTAACGTTTTACCCTTTTGATTTCGTGGGTTTTCAGACTGAACAAATGAGTAGGATTGTTAATGAACTAGACTCTATCCACTTTTCAATGAAGAAGGCATCACAGCTCGTGAAGGAAATAGGAAGACAGGTTTCCATCTTTATATTGTCTCTGATTTCCTTTTTTTTTCTTTTTTAAATTCTAATCTTATTTTGCTACTAAATCATCTTTACATTCCTGGAATCAGGTTGCTACTGACCGGTGTATCATGGCCTTGCTTTTCTTGATTGTGGTTGGAGTAATTGCAATTATTATTGTGAAGGTTTGACATTGTTTTTTCAAATTTAGTAATTTGAATTTTCAGTTTTATGTTTCATGTTTTTTCTTGCATTTCTTTAGTTCTTGTTTTGTCTTGCAATTCTGTTGTAACCCAATTATATTTTAATTAATGCTCTATTCTTGGATTTATTATTCTGTGCGGAGTCCAGATGGCGTCCGGAGACCAATAAAAATGTGCTACGTCACCCCAAAAATATACCGCGCTCGGTACCGAGCGCGTAACCAGACGAGAGAGCAATCCGGTGTCCGCACAGAATAATAGTTCTTATTCTTGGGAGCTACTTGGTCCTTAAGTCTAACCACCTAATAGCAAAATCATCCTAAACTTCTATTGACTAAGATTGAACCGTGCATAATCATTCAATAATAAATATTACATTTTTAGGCTTTTCAATGTGCTATCTTGTATAAAAAAGATTTTAAGTCTGGCATAAAGTGCATGGTGATGGTGAGACCTGCGGGCCACGTGTATTGTAATAAGCATCTAATTATTTTATAGATAAAAGGACCGAATTGATCCGTTAGACTCTTTAAGTAGGGATCAAATTAGTTCTTTTATGGGATCATTTAAGGCTTCGTTTGAGACAGATTTAGGCCATTATTTTTTTCCCGCTTTCAAGAAATTTCAGTATTAAAAAACAGTTTTACAAAACAGTAAGAAAGCTATCCCAAACAAAACCTGAGTTCATATCTAAAAAGTTGAGTGACAAAAATAGGATTTTGAAATAGCGGGAGATTGAAATCAATGTGGTTGTTTTATTATATCCAACCAAATGATATTTTAGACATTTCATTGCCCTTTAATTTCTTTGTTTTTATTTTTATTTTTTGGAATGTTCAGATTGTGAATCCAAAGAACAAGGACATCCGGGACATTCCAGGACTTGCTCCACCAGCTAATAGAAGGCTTCTTTGGGAAAGGGATCACCATTATTACAGTTGAAATCTTCATTTCACTTCAACCATTTTATACAGGCATAATAACCTATATTTGAGAAATTGAGATGTTTTACTTTGTTGTTTTTTTTTATAAAAATATTGATTTATTTTGTTATATTATCTTGTATAACTAGTTGATTCAACCATTTCAATTGATACTAATTCATGCACTTCACATGTTACTTTTTGAATTGCTAAACTGACCCTAAAGTTCTTTCAATACGTTTTCAGCACAACTGTTTTTTATTTCTGTAGATTAAGGTTTCGTATGGAACGGTTTTCTTACTGATTCTTGAAATATTTTTTTACTATAAAAATTTTAATTTTTGTACTAAAAAACTGCTTGAAGAAGCAGTAAGAAAGCCGTCCCAAATGAAATCTAAATTTTTTAATTTTGTTATTTTTAATTTTGGGAATTGTTTGTTCAGCTAAAATATTATTAATAATTTTATTTAACTCAGAGTGATTTAAATTCAGTTTGGGCATCTTTAAAAGATATTTTCATTTTGTTATGCATTCCTCATTCTGATTAAATTCAACTTCAGTATAATATGGGTAAAATTTCATCTTGAATTCGATTACAATTAATTTTATAGTTAATAAATTATTTGATATGAATGTAAACATATTTGAACAATTTATTTCATCTGCAACTCTGTAATCTATTTGCAGCTGCTATTCAATTCATATTTAAATTTCATTAAAAGAAAAATTTCTAAAAAAAGAATTCATATTTTCCAGTCAAGAGATTAATCTGTGCGGTGTCTGAACACGTTTGGAGGTTAATCCGGATGTGCCATGTCATCCAATGTATTGTATATTTGATGATGTGGCGCATCCGGATTGACCTCCACATTTGTTCGAACATCGCACGTAATAAATTTTCCAGCCAGTTGGGTAGAGCATTAAAATTTTTGGGCAACTATTTAGCAAATATTGCTATGTCATTCTCACCAACAATACATATTTAAAATTCATTAAAAAAGAAATCTCTAAAAAAAGAAGTCATATTTTTCAGTTGAGAGATTATTTTGTGCAGTGTCTGAATGCGTATGAAGGTCAATTTGAATGTGTTACGTCAGCTAATATATTGTGCATTGGTGATGTGACGCATCCGGATTAACCTTCGGATATGTCCAGATAGCACGTAATAAATTTTCAAGGCAGGTGAGATAGAGTGTTTAAATTTTCTGGCAACTATTTAGCAATTATGCTATGTAGGTCATTCTCACCAACAAAATTAGCAAAGGAGAAAGACAAAGGCAAGACATTTTTTTTGTAGATTTTTCTTCCACAATGAGCACCCTATAAATAAAATTTTATTATATTAATTGGGTATAAACAACCGTTTCAATCATAGGGCTAGTGATTTCCTCTATAATTATTTCATCCCGAAGTACATGTAGTGATAAAGTAGGTTGTCTTGATTTATAGTTGAGAGATTATTACATGTGGAGTCTGGACACATAAAATAATTTAATTTTGTGACTGTAAACAATAAAAATGCTCTTACTATTCACTCATGCGCTTTTATTATTTACAGTCACAAAATCGAACAGTTCCGTATATGAACTCCACACGTAATAATATCTCCTTATATTGACCTATGATGCACCAACAATATTTTGTTATAGTGGAACTATAGTATTGGGCATTTATGCTCGATACTTGAATTTACTTGCTGTGCGTCTAATATATCTAATATTGCATTTGTGTCATAGTAAAAAAAATAAAAAAATAATAATAATAATAGGCACACTTGTCGAACATGCATGCATTTAATAATAAATTTTAATATTTAAAAATATTACATAAATAACTTTAATTAAATATTCAAATTATCACTTTTATTTTATTTAAAAAAATGATGTATAGTTTTTATTTTATGGAGTTAGGTCAGACAATAATGAGTGGGTACTCATTAAGACAAGAATTTCTGAGCTCTCTCTCGCTCTAATTTTTGAATCTCTCTCTCTCTCTCTCTCTCTCTCTCTCTCTCTCTTTATGGATACATACAGAACAGACTCGACACTATTCGGGTCAACTCAAACATGTCCTGTTTTTGCAAACGAGTCAGTTTTATGACCTGAATCCGACCTGCTTCACATTCAGGTCAACTCGACCCAACCCGCAGACATGGTAACACAGGCATCAGCGAATTGACGGCCGTCGCAACGTCGTCACTCGGGACATTGAGGACGGTGGGACACGATGTGGCAGTGGCGGGTCAGCGTGATGGGCAAATAAACCGACGCGGGACAACAGGGACGCGACGTGGATTGGCCTCGCCACCTTGGAATGCGAAGCGTGACGTGGGATTGGCCTCGGGACGCGACGCGGGCAGCTCCGATCAGGCGTAGTCAGCGTGGGCCATTTCGGGTCAACCTGAACCCGACTTATTTTTAAAATGGGTTGAAAACCCTAACTTGAACCCAATCTGGCCTGACACGGTTTAGGTTTGGGTCAACACAAACTCGAAATTTAAGGGTCGGATTTTCGGGTGGTGTCAAATATTGACACCCCTTAAATCAGAAAGTTACAAAATTGCCTTTCCACATCTAATTTGTAAGAGAAATTATTTTCACATAAAAAAAAGTTGAGAATTAAAATATGTTTTTGGCAGTTGAAACGGATTCCCGTAAAAATAGCTGTGTTGTTGGTAGGGCTGACAAAAAAGGGTCACGGGTCGGGTTCGGGTCCAACCCGAAATTGATCCGATACTGTTCAACCCGACTCGAACCTAACCCGTTTTTGCAAACGGGTCGGTTTTCAGAACCCGACCCGCTTCGGGTATATTTTATTAAAATTTTTTTATTTAATTCAATTTATTTAAATCTAAATCAAATTAAGGTAAGATTTACTTCAATAATTTAATTCGGGCAACAATGTTTATAATTTTTTGAAATATCATTTACTTATTTCATTAAAATCCTTTAAAACCCTCCTAAATTAATTAAAAACGGGTCAAATTAAACCGGCGATTTCGGGTTTCCGGGTCAACTCGAACCCGACCCGATTTTACAAATGGGTCGAAATCCTTAACCCAAACCCAACCCGATTGTTGGTCACGTCTCCATCTCCCAAAGCCCTACCTTTCTCCATCAGCTCTTCTCCAAAAATCGGATCTCTAACAGCACCCACGCCTGACGCCTCCTCCTCCACCCCCTACTACTCTCAGCTCGGTTTTGCTCTTTGATTGATATTGTTGAGTTTTGTATGTCGACAACTAAAGTGCTAGGATTGTACGCCACTCACTTATATGTTAAGATCTTTTAAAATGAAATGAGATTACCCCTAGCCTGTGTTCCTAGTAGGAGCAATGATTGGACATTTGGTTCATCAAGTTGGATATAGATATGTGATATATGAGCTTCCAACCTTGCTGCTGTACACATCATATCATAATCTTATGAGTCTTTGCATAGTCTATGGTTCACATTGGAATAGACGATATAGACACACTTTGCACACATGCCCATTCTTGATCTAGCTAATTCTATGGTGGGTCTGCCTCTCTTTTATTTGAGTTTTTACTAGCCTTTCACTTACACATGTAACTAGGTAGGTTAGTTGCATTCATGGCTAGGCAGGATATAAGCCCAACATTTAGGCCTTACGATTATTTGCATAATCATAATGCAAGTATCAAATCACGAGTTTCTTCTACAGTTTAGAAGACTCCCAATCCTTAGGATATAAAGCCTCCGTGGGCTTCTCCTTCATGTGGTTATGTAGTATAAGTCCCACTTTTCAGCTTGGGATCAGGTCCTTCTTACACCTCAAGGTTTATGAGATCCTCTTAGATGATACACGTAGGACCGGTTCAGTTGAACTGCCCGACCGGTTCAGTTGAACTGCCCCTAATCAAAGAACAAGAACAGCAGAAGTGTGGCGGGCCCATATATAACTCACGGGTCACAGTATCGAAACCAATATCTGATACTACTTTTATCACCGTTCGACCGTCTGTTCTTACCTCATTGATTCGAGCTTCTAGGCCAGGTCGTGACAATATAGCCTATTGTTGCAATGTTGCTAACAAAAATTCTCATAATTAAACAAGTTTGATAATCTTATTTCTTACCAAAAAGATTATGAGCTATGATAACCCAATATGATGGACAGCCTTGGGTCTTCATTAGAATTGTCCTCTCATCTGTTAGATTAATGTCCTTTTACTTGAATTAATCAGTTGATTCATTAGGATAGAAACCTTCTTCTCAAGGATGGACTTCTTCCTTTAGATAGTTCCCCCTTTCTTAGGTCATGATATAGACTTGTGTGACATTCCAAAATATAAGTCCCATTATCATTAAGCTATCTTATTTGAATTTTGTTCTCTCAAGTGTCTATATGTAATGATTACATTTCTAATAACTAAAATACATAGCTTGTTATAGAAAGAAGGTGCAGTGGAAGCAATAGAAGCATAGAAGAACAGGGACAATGCAATTGAACCTCAATAGAACAGTAAACTTTACTGATGATAATCAAAGGATAAAAACTACTTTGCTCAAGCTTCTTACCCGGTATAAGAGAAGCTTCAGCTTTCTACAAAAAGGTATAGCATGAATAGAAAAAGGTACCGGTACTATAGTCCTATAGTTAGTTATAAAAGTAGTGGAGACTAAACAAAATAACGAAACAAAAGCATTCTAGAGGTGCGGTACCCCTGCGAAATAACATAAGCAAAGGAATTCCACATCAGAAGGATTCATTCATACTTAGGACTTGAGTTATTATAATCATAAACTTATAATTATATCTCCCCTATTCTAAGAGCTAATCCATATACTCTTCCACCTCATAAATTCACATACACCACACATCTTGAACCTTAGCATGCCTTAGGATTTATTTACCCTTGACAACATTAAGGATTGCCTATCTGGCTTTTCCTCAACGCTTGTTGACTTTGACCTATCAGTCGGTCTTGATTCTTTTATATCTAATTGAATAATGTTCATAACATTTGGATAAATACGTATAACACAAGCAAGATTTCTTATTAGAGAGTTTTTTGAGGCAAAGGTCTTGCTTGTTTCGATAGTCTTTTAGAAGCTTAATCTCATATGAAATTTTGTAACAACGTTTTTATTTAATGAAAGTTTATCATTTTTAAGATATTTTTGTATTTTCCTTCTTCTATTTTCTACTTGTTCAATTTTCTCAATG